AGTTAACAAAACCTAAATGTTTACTAGGTAAGTCAAGAGTAAGTCAAAGGCACATCCCCAAACTAAAGATCTTGCATCTGAGAATGATAGCACATCTATGACAATTTGAAACAGCTTAAATGCTTGTACTAAGACAGATTTTTATATTCATTAAAAATATAGAATTTAAATCATGGGATACGGCACTTTAAAATTCAAAATACTCCAAATCTGGTGTATGCATAGATTTCACCACTGTTTTCAGTCATGAAAATCTTGACTTGCAGGATCGGACCGCTGACATAGATCCAGCAACATTTTAATTATTTTAAGTTAGTATTACAAAGGGTGAACAAATCTTCACTGTGAACTATTCCATTAAAACAGAGAAAGAGATGGCAAGTTCTTGAGTCTAATTTTTTACTTCGAGGATTGCTTTTCAATGTAAAAGACTCAAATGATACCTAAATTTATTTTCAGATTATTTGGATCACTTTCTAAAGAAAACAAAATGCTATAGTAAATGGAGGATAAAATGGTATGACTTTATACACAATGAAATGTAAATGTAGCAAAGGTACTTGGTGTGACACTGAGTTTTCTTAGATGACTATGTCTTCTACTTAAGAAAAACAAAACTATAAATTCTGTATGGAGGAGATAACGTAGCAAGATTTCGACGTAGGATAGTTTATTACCTAAACAGTATGTACAAATTCTAAACATGAAAATAATGAGTAAAAGAAATCAGACTCTATTTACATTTACATTTTTTTACAAATTATTTTTTACAAGAAGTGTATTTTTGTTCTCTAAATAACAGGACAGACACATAAGACCCATCTTTTTGTATTACATACATAAATAAATATTGACTTTAAATGAGTGTTATAGGAACATAATTTCTACAGCCAATTTGGGTAACAGAGAAGCAGTTCTGTTACCTCTACTACAATATAATTAAGTAAAAAGGAAAAATTTTACATATAGAGCTCTGTTAATTACTTTGTAAATTGTACCTTACTAATATATTCAGTAGAGGTAATACAGTCGTTACATTTCATGCCCACAACTGAACAATGAGTTTTGGCATGCAAAACCATATATAATCATCAACATCTGCAGGTATTCATTTACATTTTTTAAATAAAGGGTTTTCTTAATTATTTAAAACTACATGCAACAGCTTATTAGCATCATATTCCTGGTTACAATGCACAAGTTTGCATAACATTATTCTTAGTAATTGATGTTCACAGGTACTGATCAAAAGGGTAGGAATATACTTGGCACATAGTATAAGAAAATGAATTAATAAATAAGTCAATATCACAACTACATTTACATATACACAGGACAAAAATATTGTTTTTTATGGTGTTGTACACAGAATTTAGAACTGCCTGGGTTCCATACTTTGTTCTATAAGGCCCTGACTTAAGACAGTATTCAAGAAAATTTTGACATCCATGCTTTATTCGAGACATCACTAAAGCTCATTCTTAGGTTTACTTCCATCCCACTGACTTCTGTTGTGCATATGGAAGTTTCCTCTTCTGCATACCTTCCTGAATCAGGGCCTGCTTATCTGAAACTCTCCCTGACTCCAGTTGGGAGCATGGAGATGAAAGTATTGTGGAATAAATTGACTCAGTATTTAGGTTTCTATACAGTTCTGCTAACGCCAACGGTAACATTCCCATTCACATTAGCAATGAGTATTTCTTTGATTTTGTGGGTGACCATGCCAAACATTAATGTCAATGTTAGCATTGCCACACCATGTCCTCAGCTCTTTCTGAAGCCACCAAGTTGAGGATGTTCAGCATTTCAGAAGTCAGACCTCTTATTTATTGTCTATGAGCTATAGAATATTCAGGATGATACACATAGTAGTACATCACAAGCTGTGTCTTGTTTGAATTTCTCCTGCTCTATAAACAATTCAGAAATGGTCAAAAAAGATATAACAAGAACAAACCACTCTCTTAAACAAAAATCACCGATGAACAAAAAAAAAAGTCCACTTCACAAAGCAGTTAGCAAAAATGGCATAATCTTATAATTCTCCTTTAAGAAATAAAGATAAACAAAATGCATCCTGAAGTCAACTGTCAAATCCATCAGAATCATACATAGCAAATAATACATTAGTGTAAAGGTGCAGAGTATCTAAAAACATCCCAATGTCTATATTAACTCTGTATTACACAACATCATTAGAGAAAATAAATCTTTAACTAGCGAATCAAGTAGTGAATTATAACTCTATTGCTGAATTAAATGTTTAATGTGACTTAGGCTAGTAAATTAGGACAATACCCTGTACAATTCAGCAAACAAGGCTTTATGAATTAGGCACTAACAACTTCAAATCTATACTGCTAAATTCAAAGAATAATTAGGAAGTCACTCACAGCTGGAAATTTAACATCCATGCGTGAGCTTTGTTGACCTTGTATTTTTCATTTTTGATTTGGAGGGTGACTTTAAAGGTGAGTTGATAAGCTGATTTGTAGAAGGAAAAAAAATAATTTATATCTTAGTGGACTCTATATAATATGCTTGTTCAATACAATTCTACTCTATCAACTTTTTTTTTGATATCCAGAATTTACTTTAAAAGGGAAAACCCCTCCATGCTCTTCAAAAGTATATTGTTGTTTTTAAAAGTTGAATGCTTCAAAGAGACTGGCATCAGCAAACAGTAACCACTTTGATTCATTTCAGAAGAATGAGGCTCCCCCTCAGAAACCCAGACTAAGGGTATGATCACTCAGGGTTACTAACTTCCAGTTTATCTCCAAGCCAGATTTGGCATCATTGTAATGAAGACCGACATCCATGTTCTATGCTTTACCATGTCATTATGAACGAAACATAATTTCATTAACATTAATCAAGTCACTACAGATTTGCTCCAGCATAACTAGAATAGACTGTGATTGAAAGGTTTGGACAGAAGTTTTCAGAGAAGCCTGGGGTAATTACTTTCCCTGATCCCACTGACTCCTCCTCTCAGCAAACACCACGGAGATCACTTCTAGCTTTACCGATGCCCTATGCAACCTAAATGTCGAAGCAGTGCTGCACACTGGTCTGATTCAAATTGTGTTCTCTTTGTAAAGACTTGTACACATGAAACATTTCCATCCTGACAAAAGTCTCTGAGACTCTGGCCTTCTCCCAAAATTGAACATAAACCTTTATACTACAGATTTTATGAAGAAGAGTTCATCTGTTTATTTGCTAATGTATTTTGGAAAAGGGGAGATGACAGAGTGATAGAGGAAGGAATTAAAAGCACCATAGCCTTTAACATTTTTAAAACTACTGTTAAAGGCCCAAACCATGTAGCAATAGAAATTTTCTGGAAAAGTTCTTGGTCACTGAGTGCATATCAAAAAAGACAACAAGCAAAGTAGAAAGAGAATGGCAAAAAAGAGCCCTTTAAAACTGAAGGTAGAAATGTAGGAAAACTGGAATGAGCAAGTGATCAGAAATTAATTCAGTTTCCTTCACCCCTTGTGGTATCAACCCACATGGAACCAAAAGCTATAAATTTCAGTATAGAAAAACTGTATTTGAATATTTTGTGAATGCTCTACTATGATAAACGTAACTCTGATCCTCAGTTTCAGGTATGTATTTCTTTTCTCCATATTTGCCTTCCCCAAAACAGTTTGTCATCAAGAGAAGGAAAATATATTTACCACTGATGTCTGAGCTCCTCTCACTGAATATCTCAGACAAATAAGAAGGTCAGGTGAGTCTTTAGCATCTGCTGGTAGAAAACGTGGCCACCTTGTCAAGTTTGACTACTAAGCCTCATCATATGATGGTTTAGGGAGCAATGGAAACTGTGCCAAAGAATGCAGGAGCACTTTGAACATCTTGAACATGAGAAGCTGATTATGAGTATTTGTATGGACGTTTATTGGCAGATACTTTCCACCCTCTCGATAATAAATCCATGCAGTTTCTGTTTACTATGGAAGGATGTCTCTCTGTGTGGCAAATTATTCTAGACAGTTTATATTGCACAATAAGGCAATATGAATTCCCTTATGGTTAAAAAGGGCACCCTTCTGTCTAAATTTGAAAAATGCATTCAAATAAACTATAAGCCAATGTTTTCCAGATGCCAGAATATTGTCACATAATTCTTTCTGTAAGCAGAATAGCATGGAGCCAATACATCCATCCTTCTGTTCAAAAGATCCATGGGGAAAAGAGATACGTGCATCAAAAGCCAAAGCCAAAAAGTAGCTCTACAGCTACTTGAATAATAAACGTGCCTCAGAATTTCAATTTCTAAAATGTTCATGTTAACTATACAGATTTTTAACTAGAAAATTGGTGTTTCTTTTCAAGATATTATTATACCTTGAAATACTATATATGAAAAAATTATAAGTGGGATTTTAAAAGTCATTCTTCCAGGCCCTATCAATTAATTGTATTAATTGCCATAGATTTTCAACAATTTTATTAATTGCCATTTGTTTCTTTACAATGGTACATCTACCCTGCATATTTTTTAGCTATTAACTATGTTAATACAAGATCTACATGCTAAAACGTTACCATTTCAGAACAGATGGTTGATACAAATGTATCATCATTCTCCTCTGTGGTGATACTGCAATTATTAAATACTGACTATTTTAGGGTTTCTGCTACTGGTATTTATTTTACTTATGTCCTTATTTCAGACATCTGGAGATCTTCTTTAATAGCAAAATACACTAGGGCTTAAACTGGTGACAGGCAGAGCTTTAAGTAAAATAGATCATTTAAACACGCTGATAAGAACATGGCCTTCGGTGTTCAAAAGTACGTATACATCATGGGACAACCTTGCAAATATTAATGTTGAAGTCACTAAGAGAAAAAGCCATATACACTGCACCATTTCAATCTACTTTAAACACAGAAATACAAAAACATTATAATGAATGCATTTTTGATTTTCTCACAGGCATTGAGTTGGATGCGATCTTCCGTTTGTTGAATAGTGGTGGTACTGAAATGATACTTGCTGTATGTTTCATCCTGGCCTTGGTGCAAATACAATTTGTCATGGCTAAACTACAGAGAAGTAGATACAAATCGTACAGGATGGTGACTTCCACTGGAAAACTGGGTTCGTTGCTCCTACAGATGCGCCTTTTCCCAGCTTCCATTTGGGAGCTCAGTTTTTCTCTTGGTTCTCTGCATAATCATCTGAAACAGTCTAATATTTCTCTGGGGGTGCCTTGTAGTGATGTGGATGAAGTTGTTTCAGATGAGGTCCTAAACAAAAGAGTAGGAAAATATGCACATATCAAACCCTGAATATGTAACACTATCATTTATCCGTACTAAAAAGTCTTCGTGAAGCCTTCAGCTTGCAATCCTTCAGCTTATAAGTGAACTGCCTGGGCCAACAACTATGTGCATGTCCAGTCCAGACAACTTTAGTGACTGTGAAAGGACAAAAGGATTCAAGCAGATGAATTTTGGACTAATTCATTATATTTTTTGTTGAGCTTCACAACACTGAGCTGTACTTTTCAGAAACTTATAAAATGCTGGAAATGGCCATTAAGAGTTCTGCACTGCTTTAGAGATATGATCAGGCTCTAGCCAAGCTGGACTGAATGCACCCAGAAAAATCTAATCTTGAAAGCTAAGCAATCCCAGGCCTAGGTAGTACTTGGAGGACAGACCATCTTTGAATCCCAGGTACTATAGGCATAAGCCAAAGAGCTGTGGTGGAATGAATGGCAAATGTCAGACCACAGAAACTGAGTGAAAGACTGCATTTGCTTCCATCATTGCTGATGGACAGTTACGGGGGGTGGGGGTGGGGGGGAACAGTATTTTCATGCATCTTAAATTCATGGAATGCTACTGGAACCAATAAAGACTCTAAGGCTCAAGCTAAGTGTTTACATGTGGAGGATTGAAGTTCTGTAACACGTAACCACATGTCAAAATGGGGTACTACTTACTGTGGGGTGAAAACGGAGGAAGGTCGGGTGTTCGGAACGATTTTATTGTAGCTGGCCCTTCCCCACCAGTCGTCAGCACTTGAACTTCCAAGCGGTACAGCATCGATGGCCTCAAATTGGGCACGGTAAGTACATAATGATCCTAAAAATAAATAAATCACATTAATTTTCAGAGCATCTAAAAATAAAACATAGTTGATCTACTCACAGAAAGCAGTGGTTTAAACAGGTTCTGTCACTCTCAGCATCCACAGATTATTTTCTTAGAATTCTGTTAAAAGGATTTAACGTATGCATCACTTTGTTGAGAGGGTTTGTTCTGAATTTTTTGCTTGCCATTGCCTTCGAGCATACTTTTTTACCACAATGTTATGGTTTCATGTGTAAGAGGTCCAAGTTGTTCCTTAGTGTTCTTGAAAATGGATGTGTTCATCACTAAAAAAACCAATAAAATTAACTTCCTAATCATTCTTTTTAATAAAGAAACATGTTCATTATATAAACTTGTTTTTATTTTGGATCTGCCTGTGAATCCCACTAATTGGTAAATTAATTCATGGCAATTCGCACGTCTGGCCCCCTGCTGCAGCTAGTGAAAATAAGGGTGGCTATGCAGATTTCAGCATATTTGTCCCAATTACACCATGAGAAGCTGCCCTTCTGTTCTTAATCCCATTTTTGGCATAATGCCCTCAATTTTCACTGCTCCATACCTTGCATGGTCACTTAGACCTGTGCAAAATAATTTCAGAGTAAGTTTATAAATGCTCCCAAATGGGAATACATCTAACTAAAGACTGAAGGGCATTAAGGGATCAGAAGTCCTGATTCACCTTATTCCAAGCTGAAAAGGACCAGTCCCAGGAAGGGGACAGCGGGGCAGCGACACCAGCAGTGTGGGCACAGTGTGCTCCTGCAACCGGCCAGGCTGGGCCGGCCAGGAATTTGCAGGGCAAGCTTCCCTGGCTGGCACTGCACCCAGCACCATGCAGGGGGACCTAGGCGGGCTGTGGGAATAACTGAAAATCTGCTGTTGCTGCCAGAGCAGACAGTAAAGGTGAAAAGAGAGAGAGAAAAGGTAGGGGCAAATGTGTAGTTTTACTGCCAAATTAGCGCATTTTCTGAGATGGGGCTGCTTTTAATAGACCTTGCTGAAGCTGTTCCACCTCGTATAACATACTGAACGGGTCGGGGAGAGAGAGGAGTGCATACATCGCACTCATACACTCATGCTGCTCATTCAGGCACTCCTCCGGCAGTTGGGACCTGTGGGTTTCAGCCTCCACTGTGTAGATATTACATTTGTATCAGTCAGAGGCTACCAACGAGAATGAGTGAATGATCCTTACTGTAAAATACCCTACATTCTGGTGGTTTCTGAGAGGGAGGAGATACTGTTTCAGCTCAAACCAGAGTTTTCTTAACCAGTTGCCATAAATAGACAGAGAGATACATATAGTGATAGATAATTAAATAAAAGGAATCTCCAGGCTCTACAGTAGTGAAAACAGAGGAAAACGAAGATAAAAAATTAAAGCATAACACAATGCAAAGGAGTGTTTTAAATAAAACTTTATCTATATTTCAGACCTAACTGGACCAAAAGCTTAAAAAAAGGAATAGAAATTCTGAATAAAACATACGCCTGCTCCTAAAAAAAAAAAGATGAAAACTGAAGTGAAAAGTAACATTTCATGGTCTGTAACTTTGCTTATCATTGTGCTAAAGTGGCTGTTTGCAGCCAAAGGTCTGTGACTGAGTAACCACTTCAGGTAATCTTGCAACGTGGCTTGCTGAAGAGACCACGGCTGTATCTGCACCGGGCTTCCGCTCTGGACTGTGGGTCAAGCTTTGAGTGAATTGGTGCAGATCACACCAAGTCTGTATTAAGCTGTAACAAAACAGCTCTGCACGCTGCATGGTAGCTTGCCCCATAGTTTTAGAGCATCCGCGGTCAACTTTGTTGCTTTCCCCCAAAACAACAGGCTTTGAAACACGGGTGCCCTAGCCTTAGGTCAGTCTGCTAGGAATTAAGACAGACCGGTGAGAACCTTGCCTTGGATTTGTGGAAAACGCGTTGAATGTAAGATGTGTCCAACAAAACATTTTACGCATTCTTTGATGAAATGAATGTTGTGAAAAGATTTTCAGTCAGCTCTGCTCTAGACACAATTGCCTTGACCCACTTCCCTGAAGTGAATGGAAAGACTCCCGACGTTGTTAGCTGACTTTGGATCAAGGCCAGCTGCTTAAGCCCTTTTGTTGACTTTGGTGGATCTGGCAACAGAGTCTGAATGAAGTGCTCTTCACCTGCCTCTGCCAAAGGAGGAGCTGAAATAGCAAAGGCCATCTTAAAGCAAATAGGGGGAAGAATTCAAATTGTTAATTCTCACACTTTCAATAAACAGTGAAACCTAGTTACTCTTTAATTATTTGTCTGTCGGACAATGGTGCATATTGGCAGAGGGGGAAGTGATTTTTACTTTTCTTAGAGCAATGAGTGACTTGAAGAGAAAATTCTCTTAAATCCATCGACTTGGACACCAAATAATTAGTAAAACTTTAGTAACTGCCAAGTTGAACAGCCTGATCATCAAAAAAAAATAAAAACTATCTATTACCACACAGATGATCTTTTCCTCCCTTCAGGCATTTCTCAGACAATGGTTGCTAATTTGACAATTGTGAACATTAAAATGTTTGATGTGTCATCAAGAAGAGTAGCTGTGCTTTATTTCTCCAGCAAGGAGGAAAAATTAAGCACTTCCTGCTCCAACTTTCCTGCAGAGCCGGAGAACGCTATGTGTGACATCTGCAGCACCACTAAACATTGAAAATAGGCCACATACACACACACACTTATGAAGCCGCTAGCAAAGGAAAGTAACAAACAACTTACTGCTGGCAGTATCTGCGACTGAGAAATGATGCTGTTGGGTAAGCTGTTCTGCCGGCTTTCTGTGGTTACTTCTGCCCAAGTGACTTGAAACCCTGTCATGGGCTGGTGAAGGTCTGCCTTAGATATCTTCCAGGAAAAATGACCAGTGATGTTACCTTCCTGGACAATGAAAGACGCAGATAGATTCTCTGGTTTGGCCAACACTTTGGGTAGAACTGGCACTATAAATTTGGAAAGCAAAAAGATAAGCTAAACTTTGAGACATAACGTTCAATAATGTTCATTTCGTTCCACAAATCAAGGTCAGACAGAGCTCTCTTTCTGGTGTTACCCAGGATCCTGACAGCTTTCTGCCATCGCATTTGCAGTGTGAACCAAAGTCTATCTTTGATATATTCTCTTGGCATTTTGTGCCAAATTTAAACTTCAAATCAAATCCTGTCAGCTGCAGGTGACAGAAAGGAAAGCCTATGGCATGTAAAGGCATAAGTGTCTCATTCACAGGCAACCATCCTGCTGCTCCTCTGTATTTCAGCATGCCTAAGCTCCAGTTTCCAATTTTGGGACCACAAGAAAACCCACAGGATAGCACAGAACTCCATGGTGCAGGCAAAAAGTAAAATTAATGCTCTAAAACTGTAGTACAAGTTAATAGGGGCACTCTGATTAGGGGAAACATATGCCTGAGTTGCAGTAGCCCAGGAATAAGGTTGTAATGCTGGAAACTGTCAGGAGGGGCGGTCAGGAAATGGCAATGATGGCCAGCAGGACACAAAGCACGGGAGTACCCCTGGGGACAGCAGGGACTCAAAGTGAGAGGGTCACCCTCTGGCTGAAGAGAGAGGTTTCCAGACTTGGCTGTGCAAAGCCACGGCTGACCTGACCTAGTGCTGACAACAGCCTTGCTTCAAGCGGGTGGCTGGACTAGCTGACCCCAGGGGTCCTTACCAACCAACATCTCCATGATTCTGCAATTTTCCATAACCCTCTAGCTATACCTATCATCATGGCAACACTGTAAAAGGTACAAGAGTGCCTTTATTTGTTATTTGAGAGCAGAATTAACCTAAACAAAATCAAACTGAAAAAGCAGCTTGCATCAGTAGCAAAACATTCAAAAGATGGGTCATGCCAGCATAATTATGTTTACAGTTATCATCTGTCATTATAATGAATATAACTGGGAAACCGTTCCTCCTTACAAAAATAAAAACTCTGTAATAACAAATGTCATCATATGTTTATAAACAAGCCACTAAAATTATCACCTTATTGACAAAACAGTAACATGGTAGCCAAAATCTATACTGTTCTGTATTTATTTGATTTTTCTCATAAGCATTAGTCATATTTTTATTTGTTATGAATCTTTCATTTCCCATTTTAGAATTGCTTTTAAAGACTTTTTTTTTGGTGTTTATAAATGCATGTGAAACTATTTGGCTA